GTTTATAACAGTAGCATAAATTTATTACAAATTATTAATTTACAATTATTAATTTATTACTAGGAAAGGAATTGGAATTGTTAAAAAAAATATATCTAAGGAGAAATGATTATACAAGCTACTATTTATTAGTCACATGTGACTGGCACGAATAAACTTCCATAGCGAGGCTACATTTGGACTCAAATAAGTTTCTAATCAAAGTGACAAATTACAACTACAAACTGTTCCTAAAGACTTTGAACAAAAAACAACAAACTGTTACCCCACCCACTGAAAGAGTCTGGCACTCGGAGAACATCTATTTTAGCCTAACAGTACAACAACCTTTTTTTTTAACATTACACTGATTCTCGGACATCATAATGGGCAATGGCAAATATAAAGGCTTATTATTTTTCTTAAGATTTTTGGTTGTTTTTGGTGGATTCATCCAGTGTGTTATTTCTTCAGTCCTACTTTTAATACGCTTTGAGGCGTACAGATTTGCGGGTCTGGTCCGAAGGTGTGAGGACTCATCTTCAGCTAATTAGAGTCATAATTCACATTAGCCATCCAAAAGACCTCGCTCCAGAAATAAAAATATAACAAATTGATTTGGGTACTAGCCAATAAGATACATATGCCTATTGAAACTACAAATTGAAAAACCTAAAATAAGTAACATGTATTTTGTGCCTATTGGGAAAAAAAGGTAGGTAGTAAAAAAGGGAAAAATTGTAACACATTATTAATATTGATAAGATATATTTGAAAATAATTAATAGGGTGGATTTCTCAGCCCTTAACACAACTATAAGTATTATTATTTGTAGTTTGATCATTTCCAATCATTAAAATTTACTGTCACAATGGTATCTCTTATCCGAAGAACTTTCACACCGGTTGACACAAGCCCCAAGGTCCAATAAATACTTTTAAGATCAATGACATGGTGAGGTGCCAGAAACTAAAAGGGTCTTTAAAAAGCCGCACATTTATTTCTTATACTACGAAATTTAAATATTAAAGATGATGAAAGACTTTTATATCTGGGTCTGATGTTATTTTTTATTGAGTTACAAATTGACACTTTTGTTCTACATAAATATTACACATACCACCTACCGGATCACATGAAATTCTTTCCAAAATAAAATAATTTTTTAATTCAACCTTTCAACTTTTTTATGAATTATATTTTGAAAACTTTCTCTATTAGACCTGAATATTTATAGCAAATAAAGTAAAACCTTAAAAAATTTACAGAATTAATTGTTAACATTGAGGCCCATCCTGTCTAAATATATAATTTAATTGAAGTCAGTGAAAATGAGCAAATTAAAACCATTTTATAATCGATTTTTTAAATATATTTCTTATTCATCAAATTACTGTGGGGCCGAGAAACAATGAGATGATTCTTTTTTTCTGAATATTAATCATCAGCTATTATCAGCCTTACTAAATCTCCAATCAGAAAAATAGAAAATGTTGATCCAAGAGCATTATTACAACACAAATAAACATTAAGCAAACATAATTCTTATTACTTTATGTGACACACCATCCTGCCACTCATATTTAATTTAATCGTCAAATCAATTTTACAAATGATTAAAATTTGATTTTTTTTCACTTGATCGAACTGGTCAACAATTTATTTGAATATATAATTTATTTCACAATGTTCAAATAAAAATTAAATATATTGTATTAACAAATTACTGTTTATTGAATTTGCTCCACTACAACAAATACATTCTCTTGTCAAAAACGTATTCATTAAAAATTTATTTTTATTATTTCATGTATTAAACCAATTTCTGACCGACTAACTCAAGCTCAAAGCTCAACAATAATTCAAGCTCAAGCTAATTTTAAAAAAATATATATTAGAATTCTTCATTAATTATTCAAGGCATCGAAAATGGTTTAAAATCATTCAAAAATTTAAATTCTTTGCGTCATTGTTTAGAAGAAATAAAAATGTTTAATTGATTCTTTAATTTTTGTATTTATTTACTTACTTTTATTTTTTTAATATGAACATTACTTATAATGCTGAATTTTATTCAGCTTACTAAACCATAAGTTATTATTAGTAATAATAGTATCTAAGACCTATTCCGTAAAAATAGAGAAACAAACACTGACAAAATGTTTAACCACATTTACACAGGACACACTCGTTCTCTTGTCAAATAGTTTTTCAAAAATATCCATTGTATAAAAAAATAATTAAACACTAACTGATAATTGAATTTTAAATGTTTTTTAATGTGATTCAGTGCATTGACACACAGTACAAACATAAAGTAAGAATATTATTTTGCCAATCAACACTATAAACACATCCTGTATCCTTTTATAAAAAAAAAATACCATATATAAAATAATTCTCCAAACATCAAACTTTTTTTTTCTTTTACAAAATATCCATTGTTTGGACGAGAAAAATTTATTCGCTACCCTTTTCAAAATGGCAATTCTTGCGTTTACCTTAAAAATAATCAAACATATTAATACTTGGATTTTACTTACATCTTCCATGTTATTTAGTGCATTGTTGTTCCATTAAACTCAGAACTTTGCTAAGGACCACCTGATTATTTTCACATCTTGGAACCAAATTGAGAGAAATGATTCTTATTTCTAACTGTTTTTCAAAGTAAAACTGGAAAGACTTGTCCTGCCAGTTTCACTAGTTCATTTTTCTTATGAAACAATATTTTTAATTTCAAAAATCAAAATATTCAATTTTAATTAAAGATTGTATTTCATTGTGAACATTATATTTGAGTTCTAACACCAGGAACGTGGATTTCAATATTTTTATACCAATTCAGTTCATTGGTGTGCGAATTTGGGATTTAAATCAGAGCAATGAATGTAACCGATTTCTCAGCATGAATGTTTAAAAAAAATGCTTATCAACTTTGCACCGGTCAGACTTGCCCATCATCTTGTTAACTAACTTGTGTTTTACAAAATATCCATTGTATAAACGAGCAGAAAATGATTGTCAATCCTAATTCAAAAGGGTAATTCTGGCGTTTAGCTTAAAAATAAACAAAAATATTAACTGATATTTGAATTTTACTTTTTTTCTTTAAGTTGATTGTGTATTATTGTACCTTTAAACTGGGAAATTAACAAACAATATTATTTGGCCAATTCAACAGTATAAAACACCATCCTGCCAGTTTCACTAGTCCATTTTTCTTGACAAATAATATTTTTGCTTAAAAAATCAAAAATTTCTCAGAGTAAGCAAAGAAAGACTTATCACATGGCCAAAATGTTTATCAAGTTTGCACCAGTCTAGCTTTTATTTTTTTTTTGTTAAATCAATTTTTTGTAAATTGATTCTTATCAAGCAATTTGGTGTGCCTATCCTCGCTCAGTTGGTCTGTCAGACGCGTTTCAACATATCACAATTTCCAGTGCGCCTGTGTATAATTAACATTATTGACACATCTCACCATCTCCAAATAATCATTTCCTCACTGAAGATGGTGCAAATTACAAATGCATATGAAAACATAAATATTGTGATATCTATGATCAATATTATCAAACTCATTGGGCCAAGCTAATGTTTCTTTCTGAGCAAATTTGTGCTGAGAGAACTAAAAAATAGAGAACCTTAATAATTTTCATAATCCTTTTTTTAAGCTTCCATTTTATTAACATTGAAAATTTGGCGTAAACATAGTATTTAAGTTTAGACACCAGGAAATTGTGAATTTCAATATTTTTAAACCAATTCTGTTCATTGGTGTGTATACTTTGAAAAAGAAACATAACTCTACCCGATTTCTTGCCATAAATATAGAAAAGTTTAGCGCATTTACAAAATGTGAATGTACACACCTGTCAGAATGGCCCATGTCGGATATTTTGTTTTACAAAATAAACATTGTATAAACGAACAAAAAAATTATTGTCAACCCTATTTCAAAATGGTAATACCTTAAAAATAATCAAAAACATTATTCATATTTGAATTTTACTGTTTTTCATTTGATGTTTTGTGTGTGTGTGTGTGTGTGTGTGTGTGTGTGTGTGTGTGTGTGTGAGCCATTGAACTGGGAGATAAACAAATAATATTATTTGGTCAATTCAACAGAACAAACACCGCCCTGCCAATTTCAATCGTCCACTTTTCTTGTCAAACAATAGTTTTACTTCAAGAATTTATCTTCAAAAACAGAAAAACTTATCACATAGCCAAAACGTTTATCAAGTTTGCATCAGTCCAGCTTTTTTTTAAAATAAATTCTGCAACATTTTTGTAATTTGTTCCTTAGTGATCAATTTGGTCTACCTATGCTCGCTCGGTTGGTCCATCAGTCGCGTGTCAACATTTTGCCATCTACAGCGTCAGTATATGATTAACATTACTGACACAGTTCTTCATTGAAGATGACACAAATTACAAACGCGTATGAATAACGTGAAAAACCCCTGGTTCAACATAAATTCTCTTTCTCGTTAATTTTTTTTTTTATCAAAATGTAAATATCGTGATATCTATAATCAACATTATCAAACTTATTGGGCCAAGATGATTTTTATTCTGAGTAAGTTTCAGTTGAGACGAAATAAGTTGTCAACCTTAATAACTTTCAAGATTTTTTTTTTCAAGCTTCGGAATGAATTTAAAATAAATTTAAAGATGTCAAAAAGAGAAGTTTACGGTCGAAGAGTTCAAAAATTGTGTGAGAATTGAATAAAAATTAGTTATTTTCATGGGTTCCAACAGCGAATCAACTGGTACACATTTATATCCTGTGATATCAGAGTAACCTCAGAATCACAATATATGTTTTGTATTTAATTTTTAATATATATTTTTTTTTATTTATGTATAATTATTTTTTTTAACGTCGGACGTTCAAAATTTGTCAATCCTGGTGCAAATTGAGGCGGAATATGAAATCAAAACAGTGTCGAATGGCAAAGTGGTAACGCCCATTTCTCGGCAAGCCATCAAATACAAGAAACGAGAGACTCACCTCAATTTCAGCCTTTCGACCCAAGTCATTTCGCCGACGGAAGCCGACACAAAACGAAATTGAAAGAGATGGATTTAAACAAAAAAAATTAAAAACAAAGAAAATTTGTTTTAAAAAAACAAAAAAACTGGCACTTTTTGAATTTGCGGTTTCACATATTTAAAAACTCGACAGTACCAGCGTCAACGGAGTAAACAAGTGAGTAACTGACCGAAACGAAAAGCGGGCCGAACGCCGAGAATTAAATGGACAGCCGCCGACAGAATGCGGTAACAAACGGAGGAAGCCCCTCTCATAGTCGAAACATGACGCAACCGAAGTAACCCAGCATTTTGGTGAACTTTAATAATCCCACCACAAATATATAATTAATCTCCAATAAAAAACATAAAACTGTTCCTTTGCCATTTTTTTATTGTCAAATCAACAAACCCAACATAAACATTTCTATGCATAATATATCTAATTAATATCCAATAAAAAACCTAAAACTGTTCCTTTGCCATTTTTTTTATTGTCAAATGAACAAGTCCAACATAAATATTTCTATACATAATATATCTAATTAATATTCAATAAAAAACAAAACTATTGGAACATATGCCAATTAGTAACAATAAATCAAATGTAAACAAAGAGGACACTTAGATATCAAGTGGTGAGTTAGGTTTTTGCCTGCATGTATATAAAATATATGTAATTCTGTAAAAATAAAATTGTAATAATATGCTATAAATGTACAGATAACCTTAAAAAAGATTTAAAATTAAATCAAAACGTCGGCCAGGATATGAAGTCATTTTCTTTATGCCTTTAAACATTGACCAATATTCCCATCACACACCAATATTATCATCACAATTATAAAACTATTCCTTTGCCTTTTTTGATTGTCAAATCAACAAATCCAACATAAATATCTCTATATACAATATATCTAATTAATATCCAATAAAAAGCAAAAAAACTGTTCCTTTGCTATTTTTTTATTATTGTCAAATCAACAAATATAACACAAATATTTCTAGATAAAATATATAATTAATCTCCAATAAAAAATCTGAAACTGTTCCTTTGCATTTTTTTATTGTCAAATCAACAAATCCAACATAAATATTTCTATATAAAATACATCTAATTAATATCCAATAAAAAACATAAAACTGTTCCTTTGTCATTTTTTATTATCAAATCAACAAATCTAACACAAATATTTCTATATACAATATGTAATTAATATCCAATAAAAAACTTAAAATTGTTCCTTGCCATTTTTTTTAATGTCACAACAAATCCAACACAAATATTTCTATATAAAATATATAAGCAACTTGGCCAATTGAGTATGAAAAGAAATGGATAAAACAATTACTCTTACAATAAAAAACATAAAACTGTTCCTTTGCCATTTTTTATTTTCAAATCAACAAATCCTTTACAAGGGCACAATTAGCAGTCTTAAAGTTGTCAGCTAGGGCTTTCCTCCAAATTGGTAAGTTATTAGTAATTTTGGGATGACAGAAAGTTTAAATACAAATATGGGAATTTGCCAAGGGTGATGATGATAGATGCGAGGAAGCGGGGTTTGTACTCCCCAGGCACTGCAGCCTTCTGGTTTATTGTACCTTCCTGGTTCCTTTGTTCAATCAATCGACTTGATACTTCACTTAAGAAGTACTAGGTCATTGACGATTGTTGCTACAGTTGCTTTCCTTTGGTTTTCTTTGAGCCCCAGGTTACTTCTTCATTGAGTGCTTACAAATGATTAAAATTTGATTTTGTTGTGTGGTGGTTAGTGACTGTTAATAATATTATAATATATATTTTGCAATGTATAAATTCACTTTTTTCCACATCCTACATGTATTTGTTAAATGTAAACAATGTTTGTAAATCCCAGGCCCTGAAGATGATCTCAATAAAGATTGAAACATTGGCACGATAAAGAAAATGTTTGTCTGAAACCTACATCACACCAGACAGCATCTCACGATTTCTGAATAATTATTTGATTTGATTTTTTTTCACTTGATCGAATTGGTCAACAATTTGAATATATAATTTATTTCACAATGCTCAAATAAAAATTAAATATATTGTATTAACAAATTACTCTTTATTGAATTTGCTCCACTACAACTCATACATCTTGTCAAAAATGTATTATTCATTAACAATTTATTTTTATTATTATTTCATGTATTAAACATATTTCTGATTGAGTAGTATTTATAACAACTCAAGCTCAAGCGTAACAAATGGAGGAAGCCTGTATCATCGTTGAAACATGACGCAAACCGAAGTGTAAAGAAAACATAAACAAAGAGGACACTTAGATATCAAGTGGGCTATTGTCGGTTGTAGTCCTCAAAATTTTCCTAGGATTCTTGTTGTAGTCCATTGGCCATACAAGGGTGTTATCAACTAATCAAGCTGTAATAATGAAGTTTACAGTAGTGCAATTAATAAATCCAAGGGACATTGTTTATGATAGATTTGATACGATTTTTAAATTTCAAGTTATGATTCAAATGAATTTCAAGATTTTTTATAGGGTCTAGAATAATAATGGGTTAACAGAAAGCTTTAATACAAACATAGGAGTCCTTCAAAGGTATGTCTTAAGTCCACTACTGTTTTCATTATTTCTATAATATTTATGTTAAAGGTGGAATAAATGTGTTGGATAAAATATTTAAATTATTAGCTTTTGCAGATGACTGTTATTTTGGCTTTTGTATAGACGTACACTTCAAAACATGATAACCCAATTTCAACTTTATTCGTAAATGAATTTAAATCTTAACCAGGACCATATACCATACCATAACCAGGACAAGTTTAAAATTGTTATTTTTATAATGGAGGAAGTTCAATATCAATGAAGCCTTTAGTTCCAACTGACTTCATTGATATTCAACCTTTGATGATATTGTTCCACCAAAAAAGTACTCTGAATCTCATAAAGACTAGCTTAAAATGAAAATTGAAGGTATGAGTATGGGGAGATTGAATTAGTAAATAGTTACAAATATTTATGAGTTAAGGTTAATAGAGGCTTCGTTATGAGATAATGCACCGCAACCAATATTGGTCTAGTATACAGTCACCATCATTATCGAAAGTTCTTCATTAAGCTTAAGGCTTGGAAATTAAATTTCAAAGCTCATACCTGTATTTTCAGGTCACCTTACAGAAACTACCCAACTTTGACTGATACTACCTCCTAATTATTTATTTATTTAATGGGCAGCCATACCCTTTTTATATATGTACAAAATATAGAAAAGCAACAGTTTATAAAGTAAACTAAAATGTATAATAAAATAAATTAAAAGAAAATATAAAGGAATAGAAAAGTACGTTTATAAAATGTATAAGAAATAATAATTGAAGAAATGACATAATAATATAAAAATATAATAATATAATTTAAAAAATAAGATAATTAAAATATAATAATAAATGAAGTTAACAATAAAATTGTTTTGATAACAGACAATCACATAATAATTTTTAAAAAAATCATTATCACATTAGTACAATAAAATACTTGAATATAACTAAGAATATGTGGAATATATAATAAAAAATGACAATGTATTATACAAAATATAATGATATTTAAAATATCTAACACTCCATCAAGAAAGAAAAAAGCTCTTGCCAAAAAAAATAATATTCTAAACTCAATATAGGAATCCTCCAACAAAATGAACAATAATTTCTTCTTTTTTTATTGCAGAATAAGCAAAGTTTGGTTCTATTGCTAAATTGTACTTATTTAAATAATAATTTAAGTAAGAATACTGTAAATAAATTAATCCATATATGTTTAGCAGTCATAATTGATCATATTAATTATTTCAATTAATTATACTTTCTATCTATGGCATTGATTGAGATGAAAAAATTAGTGTTGCAAGCAGGATTGAAACCCACGACCTTTGTCTAATACCTTAGTTAAAAAGTATAATTAATTTAAACTTTATTTAAAATTAAAATTCATCTCTATGTTAGCATATTCATCTATATTTTTCTTGTATAATTTCTACACAAATTCTCATGCAACAATCAAGGCTTTGAAGAAGACCCGAATAAAGGTCAAAACTTCAACAAATAAATGAAAAAAGGTGTTTTTCTGGCATACATTTAACCTGACCATTCCTCACTGTTTCAACTACTTATTGAAATAAATTAATTCACATCTCATCCTTATTATAAAATTAATTTTATCACCTTCTTAATCACTCTTCATGTAAGTATTGTTTAATTTGATTTGCTTTTATAGAGTGTGGTTTCTAGAAGTAAATATTTGCTGTTTACAACTATTCATTAATGTACTTTTGACATTGTTTTCTTTGCTGATTTTCCTTCATTTTTTCCTTTGAAAAAACATGTCGGTTTAATCTTGACTGCAGCAGCTGGACACAGTATTTGAAGTATTTGTAAGTTTAGAATAGGTTTAATAACGTTTAAAATTTATAACCTTCTAATTAACATTTATATTTGTCCAATTTAACTTTCTTGGCGTTGTGTTAACCTCGTCACAAGCAAATGGAATTAATCACTTAATAATAAGAATTTTTAGCAAATTGTCTGCAGCCAAATCAGGCATAACATTAAAGAAATTCTTTCTTCACTAGAAAGAACATCTTTAAAAACATGTATATTACTCTTAACTATTTTCTTGGCCAGCCAGCAGAAATTGTACTAATTAGTTTAATTAATATAAATAATTGATGAATTGTTGAGTGAGTTATTCAGATGACGTCACAAGGCTGTTCCTTATTCCTTCACTTTGCACCAAAATTGCCCCACCCGTCAAAGCAATTTTGCCGCTCAAACTTTAACATGATAACAGGCGAATTATTTCACATCGGAAAACGTGTTGTTTTTTTTGCTCTTTGAAACCGAAGTAAATAACTCCCGAAAAATGGGTTTAGACAACAATAACAAGGAGTGCGAATTGAAGGAGTCATTGGCGGCGATAAAAGAGTGTTTCGAAGGAGAAGATGTGGTAGTTTCCGTTCGAAACCCGCCTGGGTATATCACACATTTTCTTCCAAATGAACAAAACAGAGAGATTATATTGGTTTATAAAAGCGTGAGTAATCTGTACATTTAACTCTCTTAACTCATAATTTATATCTCAACTGTTTTGTCAACTTTTTAAAAATGTCATACAATATTTTTTCGGCTGTCAATATTTATCTTATTTAACGACTAACATACAAAAATCTCTTTGATTTAAAAATAATATTGTATATATATTTACTAGCGAATCTAATATACTTCAACTCTTCCATTCTTTACCAATTAATTTGCAAGAATCCTTTTAATCTAAAGGAAAAATGTATAAACATACAAAGCCATCTTTGACAGCTGTGAATATTGCTCCATTCTTTATTCATTATTTTACAAATAAAAAATCGCATACAATGGCACCTTTTCTACTGAGAATATTGCTCCAGTCTTTATTCAGTAATTTACAAACAAAAAATGTATACACAATGACATCTTTGTCAGTTGAGAATATTGTTACATTCTTTATTCAGTAATTTACAAACAATATTAAAGCATTTGACATGACGTGGAGAAAAGGTATCCTGATAAAGCTCAGAAAATGGGGAATTAAGGGAAAAATTATGCATTTCATAAAAAACTTTATGAACAATCGATCCTTCAGAATAAGAAATGGTAATACCCTATCGAGTTCATACCCCTTAATTAATGGAATTCCTCAAGGCTGTGCACTCAGTCACACTCTGTTCTCCATAGCAATAAACGATACTGTTACATCAGGCATAGTTCAATACGCGCTTTATGTAGATGATGTGGCTCTGTGCACATCTCACAAAAACATTGACACTGCAGAACGAAACCTACAAAAAGCTGTAGATAATATCGAGAAGTGGGCTGGAGAACAAGGTTTTAAGATCTCGCCTGAAAAACCACAAGCTATGATATTTACCAACAAAAGGAATCATCGAGAACCCCAAATATCATACAAGAACCACATGATTCAACCAACACCAACTGTTAAGTTTTTAGGCATGAGATTTGACAAAAAATTAACCTGGGTCCCCATATAATGGAACTAAAAACAAAGTGCACAAACTTGCTCGATACAATAGTGATCTTGAGAAACACAACATGGGGAGCAGACCGCAGTACCTTACTCAAATTTTATAAATCCCTGATACGATCTCGTCTCAATTACGGTGCCATTGCTTATCAATCACTAAACAAAAACACTAAAAAAACTAGACCCCATTCATCATAGGGCTCTTAGACTTAGCACAGGAGCATTTAAATCCAGCCCGATTAATAGCTTGATGGTTGAAACAGGAGAAATGAGTCTTTCCATGAGGAGACAATAATCCTATCAATCTACAATAAAATTGTATACACAATGGCATCTTTATCAGCTGAGAATATTGTTACATTCTTTATTCAGTAATTTACAAACAATATCATCTTTATCAGCTGAGAGTATTGCTCCATTTTTTATTCGGTAATTCACAATAATCCTATCAATCTACAATAAAATTGTATACACAATGGCATTTTTGTCAGCTGAGAGTATTGCTCCATTCTTTATTTAGTAATTTATAAGAATCCTATCAATCTAAATAAAAAAATTGTATACACAATGGCATCTTTGACAGCTGTGAATATTGTTACATTCTTTATGCAGTAATTTACAAACAATATTATATTTATCAGCTGAGAGTATTGCTCCATTCTTTATTCAGTAATTTATAAGAATCCTGCCGATCTACAAAATAATTGTGTGCACATTGGCATATTTTTAAGCTGAGAACATTGCTCCATTGTTTATTCAGTAAGTTACAAACAAAAAATTGAATACACATTACATAATACATGATACATTTACAAAAGGTATCATTAAGTGAATCAACTTATTTGGCTCAGTCAGTTGGACATCAAGAGTTTTTTCAAATTCACTTCATCAACTTGAACTAAAATGTAAGAAGAAAGAAGACATTGGAGTCAGAAACACTTCTATTATAACGATTTTAACAACTTAGAAAGTTCACATAAATGTATAATTTAATTAAGTAACTAATAAGTAAGTATTAAGTAAACAAAGGTGTTTGTAAAGTTTAATAATAACGATTCATTATATAATTTAATATGGAAATTGATTTTATATAAAATCAATTTTTTTTTTGTAAAATGTTGTCGAATAGGATTAAGGAACTAAATTTTGGCTTGAATTAAGTACCATTATTTGATGTTAATCGAAAACATCTAAATAGTTTTATTTCGACAATAAATGAATTCAGATTCTCTTTAGTTGCATTAAATCCCGCATTAACAGAATATGAGAAAACAGTTTCATTCTTAGGGATAAAATCAGTAATAGCGGGTAGAGCTAGGGAACATGCTGAAAAGAAAAACGCTGGAAGTAGTATTCTTGATAGAAGTCAACAACGGAGAAGTGGACTACAGAGACAAAGCATTAGTCCGTCGGTCTTCAACCCGCAGAAAACCAACTTTACTGCACAACTTCATCCTATCACTCTCATTGAAACATTCTCCAGATATTAACATAAAACTTGAGACTTTCAATCTAACAGGGATTTCCCTGAACACTGTTCATTTAATAAATAATTGTTATATTATTGGTCTAAGAGAATTCATTCCTAGCCTAGCACCCAGTGAGAGATTATTGTACTAGGAGAAATTTATTGTTCAAATAAAGACTTTTTGAAAAGGAATCACCCAGTGAATAAACTTACCGTGGCGTCTTTGATATCCTGTTGACAGTCAATATTGCTCTGTACTTTATCTCTTAATTTACAAGCATCATTTTGTCAATACAATTTTGTCAACTATTAGTATGGCTCCTTTCTTTAGGAATTAATTTACAACAATTCTTTCAAATGGCATCTTTGATATACTTTCTTGACCTTACATCGGTCTATTCTGTGATTCTTACTAAAACTATGCCAGTTTTATTATCACTTAATTCCTAATAAACAATTCATTATTTATGTTCCAGTTACCACCAGTTACTAATATGCCTTCTGCTGACCACCAAAATGGCAGTGACTTCATACATTCAGGTTAAAGTTGTTACATTTATTTATCTAATACTTTAAGCACTAGGAGCGTTAAATATTAATAATTTTTGATGAAAATATTCGAATTTCAATAATTTATACAAATTGTTAGGTCATGTTCTTAATATTTAAAATTGATAATAACCAAAAAGTTAATAAAATTATGAATCTGGCTGTTTATTTTTTAAAGTTTATTATGTTATTTCTGACTTTAGAGCTCTGAAGAAATATGATTATCAAATTATCAGTAGTTTTTACAATTAATTCATTTTAAAATTAAATAGTTTTTTTCTTTACAATTAAATTGTAATGCCAATGAATTGTGAATTCAATTCAATTTTGTTCATATATCACCTTTTTTCTATACAATGATTATTTCGTATATATTTATACACAAATTATTTTGCAGCTGAAATGTCAGGAAATCCTTTAGAAGCTCCTTTTGGGGACGACACAATTAATGTAACGTTTAATTTTAATGATGTTATACATACTGAAAGCGAAATTAACAAACACTGTCCATTATCCGTGCTAAGCGCAAGGTATAAAATCATACAAGGCATAGAGTAATGAAGTCTTATATAATATCATTTTTAGATATTGCCTTAGCATGTGCAACACAGACATAAAACCTCCACTTCCAGTCTGGATTTTAACCGATTCATCAGACCTGAACAAAACCGTTTTATTGTCCACCGAACTCCATAACGGTTGGAATACTCGATGTCATGCTGTACAAAATAATGATGACATAACTATCGAGTGTATGCTGAAGTCTCACATGAAGCACTCTTTTTTAAAAAACACTAACCAAGTAAATATTAAATTTTATATATCTTGAGAAAAATATGCTTAATTTAAGTAGTCTGTTTCATTTTATGTTTTTGTCTTTTTTGCTTATTAGTAGATTTATGTACGCTTTAAGTTGAAGTAGCTTAAGAACAATCCAAAGCGCTAATAATTTAATTTACATCTACTTGAATTTTTTATTCATTTATTTTTTTTATTTTATTTTTTTAGATTAAGTACCGTAGTAAGGTTAGTAGTACTTTTAACAAGAACTTGTCCTATTGTAAGGACAATTGCAATGAAATTTATTCACATACTATGATCAAAATGAGTTGGGATGAATTGGTTGTCAAGCCTCCTTTGAATTCAAAAACACTTGACGTCCAAGTTGTAAGTTTTAATTTATTTAATTAAGTCTGAAATCTTCAAATATTCAAGTATATTCTTCCTATAGGTTACTAAATGCCATATTGGAAGTGGCAGTGACGGCCTGGCCTTTTTCTGGAATGAACTCCTTCTTTTGAACAGTGTTTTAGAGATAATTGAAAATAAACAATCATTCAGATTTCGAGAACAAACTGAACCATACTTGCAAATCCTTCAAGTAAGGTTTCTTTTGTTTGTTAAACCAATTGAACAATTCAAAATTGAATTAACCTAATATATTTTCAGAAACTGAAAAGTGAATTAAAAAAGGAACCTCAGATAACTAAAGAAAATATAAAAGCATTGTTTGCCCCTGATATTTCATTTATTATAGCAAAAGGAGAAACTGTTAAAACACTGGAAAACATCCTCAATACATTCATGTCAGTCAATAGACCAAATTTGGACACAACAGATAAACTTTGGCATTTATTACTAAGTATAATTTCTTTATTTGATTCTTGTTTGGTAAAATTTACAAAACTTATTTTAAAAAATACATTTTTTCCAGCTTGTACGTGTATAGAAGATATATCGTTTTACATAAAACAAGTTGATGAGCTGAATCAAAGCCTTTCACTATTTGTAAGTAATACTTTTTTTAAATGTATATAATTTTTTGACAGTTTCTGATATTTAAACTTCAGTAGATAAATATTAACTGATCTGAGCCAGACATCTTGGATTATGTAGTACTTAATCAAATGTAAATGTTATTGCTTTAATTTAATTGCAATCGTTAAATTTTTTGAGAATATTTAATTGATAAAAGCTGGGAATTTCATTTCTGCGTTATTTGGTTCACATTTTTTCATAAAAACAAAATATTATTTTCAGTTGATGTACATTTTAGGTGGGAAATGGAAATATATCCAGATTTGCAACTGTCCTGCAAGGCGGACACGGGCACATCTCAGATGCTCTTGAATATTTCGTTGAGATTGGTTTGGAAAAATTGAGAAAACAAATATACTCAATTTTCTCAGAAGCTAGAATCGCCTCGCCATTTTCACTGAATACACCAAAATATCTGAGGCAAGTTGAAATTTAAAATGGGCTTAACTGAAAAGTAAGTAACATTTCCTTCATTCCTTACCTCCTATCCTCCCCACAATATTCGGATTGACACCCTGGTGCTCTACCATTTGAGCAATCAGGACATTCATTCTCCGAGGCACAATTTTTTCATCTCAACCTCTTTTTATAAAAATTATATATTGATAATTGATTAAAAGATAATAAATAATACAAATTAAAATCAGTGACATTCCTCTTACTCAATAAAAATTCACTTTGCTAATTCGAATGCCACTGAGTGGCAAAGAAATGTGAAACCAGTTGTACAATTGCCGAACAATTGTGCAAAATGTATTAATTAATTTCTTATCCACAGTAGGGCTGGTATATATTTAATTATATTCAATAAGAACAAACAAATCCGGATTCAACATTTATTGTCTTTACAAATTATAGTAATAGATGCTGCCACACCTTAACCTAATTAAAAAAAAATATTTTTAACTAAATATTATTTACATGTGAACTTATTATCTTATAATTGATTAGTCCCAAAAATATTTAAGTTAACTTCTTGGCGAAGAACTTAATTATCAGACCAGTAGGCGCAGCAGACGGGCAACAGGAACAATGAGAAAAGCAATTTCGAGCAGAACATATCAGCTCAAGATTGTTCCTGGTGTCTAGACGATGTCACCGGGTAGGAGCAGTATCCTCTCTGCTGGCTCGTGCAGCAGTTAGAAAATGTTCTTTCACGATGGCAGATTTCGTCTAAGATGACACAATGGGTATGGTAATTAACTGGTTACTCAAATTGAACACCGGGTAGACACTTCACACTTGCACACTGATAACGTGATCTTTATACTTGAAAAGTTCCCTTGAGACTGGGGCTAGCTTATGACCATATACCAGACGTTTACAAAAAACAAGACACCTAAACCCATGGCCACAACACCAATTATTAAAATCTTAATTACGTCAATTTGAGGTCGTCTTTGAGATTGCTTAGCACTGATGATGACATTAAAGTAGAATGAAAGCATGGCGGATGACAATTAAATTTGTTTGTTTATTTAGTTGACCCTCACTTAATTCATGCGGCAAATAGTGTCCGATACATCTAACACTAAACAGAAATTATTGTGCTGTCTAGAACTCCTCATATGCTTAAGGATTTTTACCAGATCCCAACACTTTTTCAATTACTTATTCATTCAATTACTTATCGTTCAAACCCAAACTTTTCCTCTCCCAGGAGCCTACATAGGCCATCACACCAACAGAGGACATGTTTCACTGTTTCTTCTTCTTCTTGGCAATACGTACACTGGTATTGTTTCTACCCCTCCAATATATGCCTCTAGAGTCTGCACTGGCCAGTTAACAGTCCAGTTATTATTATAGTCTTAACATTAGTTTCTGTGATGGTCCTTTGATGCATTTTTTCACATGGCTCTCTCCCGGTCATATTCACCTTCGATCCTTTGTATACTCCTGTGAAACTTTTTCCTCATCCTTGCCTCCAACCTATGGTATTACCTTTCTCACCGAGCCTCATCCCTTTCCTCATTTAAGTGCTATTTTTTTATTCCCTTTTGTCCTTAAAGCTTGGCATCAAAGATTTTTTTTAGTAAATAGTAATCAAGTTAATCTAAAGAGGTATGATAAAAATCCATATTAAGGGGAAAAAACTCGTTCCAGTTTTAGTAACGTTAAAGCCGCAAACTGGATGGAAACAGCGAGAGGATGGCTCAATTGGATCTGTAAGGTCTACAGTGCCTTAGAGTTGCTGATAAACACGCAGAAAGCATTGACCTTGCGCAATGAAACAATGGAAGGGCACGCTACCAAATTGTTGGAAGAAATCACCACACGCGATTCCAAAGTCAAAGGGATTCAGTGGATATTGGAAAATAGATACCAAGAATTGAAATGGCCAATTAAATCTCAGTTTATCGAAAAACAAATTAACATGTGAGTTATTAAGCTTCAAAAAATTAATTTAAAATAATTAACTAGGATTTTTTTAAATTTCAGAACACCCGATTATTGGATGTTAGTTCTTGAGAGTTCCTTCAAAGAATGCCATCATATTAAGAGTATATTTACAAGATCAAATCAAACGGTATTCCCATCAAACAATATGATAGATTTAAATAAAAGTATTAACTTAAATAAAACAGATGTATCAATTTATGAACAAAAGAGTAATTATTGGTTAGAAATGCATGCAATTTCTAACAAAATTTCATAATTATTTGCATGCTTATTAATTATAGTGAAAAAATGTCGATGAAGATTGTACTCTGAATTGGACAAACCAATTATATTATAATAAATTAATATTAAGGCTTTAAATAAATTGTTTTTTTCTGAAGCAACCTCATATCATTCAACAAAATTGGTTTGAATAACAATGGGCTTATTGTCTCATGGGAGAAAAAAAATTATAATTGTAAAAAAAGAAAAAATATATTTAATTAAAAAAAACAAAAAAACTATCGTGGTTTGAAATGGCTGTACCCCCGCATATTGCAAGTTATACTTTCTTGGCTCCTTCCTCTATCAAACAATTTCTTCCCATTATCCTTCCTGTATTTATTATCTGTTAACTTTTAAGTCTTCTAGGCAGACTCAGAACGCTCGTTCCCACCTTCTGATCTCTACCCCTTCTCATTCAAATACACCGACCACCGCTTTTAGTCGCTGTTCCTACAACCTCCAGAAATCCCTACCTTTTTGCTGGGTTTGTCGGCCTGACAGACAGGATTTGGCATTTCACCGCCTTCACTGTTGGGTGTTTAAATTAACTCATACTTGAATATATTTTCTCCGTTTCATGGCAAATAGTGATTTGTGGATAATCCCCTGTAAAGTGAAAATGGTGTCATACACACACAAAAACATCAGATCCATCACTGAAGATGGCAAAATCCCCCCCCCCCAAAAAAGGAACTGTAATAGTTAAATTTGTAAAACGGTACATTTAAGATTTATTTTTCTTGGACGAAATGTAGTTATAAATTAGTGATTTGCTATCTAATTGTACATTTGATATTTCTTTTAATGGCAATGATGTAGAATTATCATTCTCTTTGTCAACCTCTTGTGGCACCTTTCGATGATGTGCAGACGCCTTTTTCTGATAAAATTTTATCTGTAAAACACAATTACCTTACTCCTTTTGCCAATACTTATAATATAGAATAATGACTACACGAGGATTAGGGGCAATCTAAGATCTCAGTACCTTTTCCATTATCTTAGAATGATTCAATCCATAAATTGTGTTTTCCATTGGGGGTAAAGTTTCTTCAAATTCGTCCTTCTACAACCGAAAGAAATTTTTTACAGAATTGTCAATTTTCGGGCTTTTTCTTATAAGTAAAATAATACAGCTTGATCATCTTGGTCTGTTTATTCTCTTTGGTTGGTTTTGTCCGTTATTCAAGCATTTCATATTCTCTCTTCAACAGAGAATAGACAGACCAGGATGATCAAGCTACAAGTTCATCACTTTCATGAGGAAATTACAAATGTTTTTCATGACAATTAGATATTAAGAAGGCAAATTTTGACTTAATTAACAATACCATTTCTTTAACAAGCAGGTCATCTTCAACTCCCATGTCAGCTTTGGCTAATAAATAATCAACAGTTACGTTCTTGTTATCTTTATCTATAAATAAATAACAAAAGGGTTAATATTATTAACTGTTGAATGCAGAACAAATGTCAATACCTCTGATGAACTTAATCCTTGGAATGTTTCCCATCAATTTTAATTGTGATAACTCGTGTCTTAAAGAGAAACTTAATTGGAGAAGTGTGTTTTCTAAATCAGGAATTTCATTCTTTATCATATAATATGCATTAAGAAAAGTATAGTCAGCACTGACTGCCACCTGGAAATTAAGTTAGGTTTTAAAAATTTAATTAAAGACCAAGGAAACGGATCCCAATTAATGCTGACCATATCTGGATGATATACAGATGGCTCCAAAACCGAGTATGGGTAAGGAGCTGGTATTTATAGAAATAAACCAAGGTCTAGAATTTATACAAACCTTGGCCAAAATGCCACTGTCTTCCAATGTCTCTCAAGCCTAGATTGTGGCTATTGAACACTATGCCAAGGATACTACTGAGACAGCCAGGCAGCACTGAGGGCAATTACCACATCGGTGGTCCTCCAAAGTCATTTGAGATTGGATTAAGACCCTGTCAGGCAATGGGGAAAACAACAACATCACCTTGTGTGGGTACCAGGGCAAACAGGGCAAAGGGGGAACAAAGAGGTTGTAAATTTGCCAAGGAAAGTTGATGAGGACCTGTTGGTCCTGAACCCTTTAGTGGTATACCAAACTGTCAAAAATGTAAATCCATCAGACAATTTTTTTTAAAATAAGTCCCCCATTCAATAGGAATGTAGCCCAGGATAGAGGAAAAAGTTCATCGAAGGGCCATTGCAGAAACTAACAAGAGAACTACAAAATGTAAGACTTGCTAGGATTAGAATAATAGTTGGACTGCTTACAGGTCGCTGCAAATGTATAGACTTGAAGTGGCAATACAAGCCTGTGCAGATATTGTCAAGAAGAAGAGACAGCAGAACATGTTCTCTATTGTAGAGGTCGACTCCTTTATGAATCAAATCTAATATACCATATATGGATTGGGAAAACTCAGAATCTAGATAACAGGAAGGCTATCAGGCTAATATTGTTAGGGAGAACAGAAATGCCATGTATATTGTGAATAGGATGGGCCCTAGGATTTACCCTGGGGAACCAACTTAAAAGAGAATATAAGAAGAAAAGGTAGTCCCCTAAGAGATGCAGCAGTAGGTACTGTAAGTACGAATGAGCTTCCACAGGAAATTGGATGCCATATACAATCAAACGCTTGAGCCACATCTAGAAAGATAACTGAGCAACGTTGTTTCTGCTCAAAAGAGGATTATACTTTATAGTGACTACAAATCAATGCACCTATTGTACAGTGGAAATAAGCAGAAACCAGACAGTGAGGTAGGATAACAGCAATTTCAGCTAGAGATATCATTCTTTTTAGGAGGAGCTTTTCAAGGATTTTGTGTAGTACAAGGCAGAAGATGGGAAATGTTATGGATATGAGCATAAAAGGGCTTAACTATGAGCACGACATGGCCCACATTCCCATCATAACTAACTTTCAAACTGGTTACCCATAGAAGTATGTGCACATGAAATAAATAACAAACATCTGAAGGGTGCATCAATAATAATACAACCAGATAGCTAGGCAGTTCTAAAAGCTCTCCAAGCATAGATCAACTCAAAACTGGTCAGGACTATCTGAATACCATAAAAATTGGGATCTTTAAATAACCTAACACTAAAGTGGGTCCCAGCCATGAAGCGAATACAATGAGGCAACAAATATACTTCCTAAAAGGGAGTTTCAGAACCTACAAATTTTTTAGCATAAACTATAGCCACCTTAAAAAAGAATTGGAATTTTGGGCAACTAAAGGGTACAACAAAAACCGAAAACGTCACAAGCAAAAAGACAAAAATAATGCTTGGCAGAAAGAGGAAGTCCTACTCAAAGAAAGGAACAAAAAACTTTACAGATTTTCAGGACATACTGTAGTAAAGTACCATTTTAAAGAAATGTGGCTATCAACAGATGGTCAATTATGTCGAGAAGAAGAACAAGAACATATCCTATGCAACTGCTACAATAGACAAGAAAAGATGGGAAAAACCATTCTTGAGCTATGTAGATTTTGAGAGACAGTCATTGATATGAAGTCTTTACTTTATAAAAGAAATGGAAATCTTCCAGGAAATCCATTAACAGAGATCAAATAGAATAGAAGAAAGTTTAAGCCTATGACTCCAAATGGGAAGGAAAACACAGTGTTGTTTATCTATGTCAGAAGAATTGTACATTGCAATAAATTAAAACTGTATTTTCATACTTACCCTAGTGATTTCTATTCCTTGTTCTATAATGTCGATTCCTAAACTACGGGTGACCATAATATCTGTAATATTTTTCATGAAAAGTGTGTTTAGAACTGCCTGCCTCCTTTTATTGGCCATTTTCGGAGCTCTGTGACCTACCACTTCAATGGGATTCGTAATTCTCGTATTATTAAATATCTGGAACTTTCTAAATAAAATAATTTTCAAACATTTTAGGATAAATTCATAAAATCAATAAAAGTTTTTTTTTAAACATCTTGGAATCAGTTATTACCTTTTAGGTTTTGCAACCCCAAGAAGTTTGCCCATAAACCGCACTTCTCTTTGCTTTGAAGAACATGGTATTGTCAGCGAATAGTTTCTAATGGATAACTGAAAGATGCAGATGCCATTGAAAACTGTTTTACTGATTAAATTAGAGCACATCTGAAAATAAGTTTTTAATTAGCATAAGTTCAAGTAGTAATTGAAATATGACTAAAAATGTAGTTTTATCTCTGATTAGCTATCTGTCTTAAACATTATTAAGGTTTTGAATTTTAAATTTTTTCATGTTTGCTGAACACTTTAGCCTTTGGCGAAAGTCAGAACTGCTTCACTAAAACAAGATTGACCACCTCACAATTTTAAAAAAATATTCACAAATTCTGTTCTTTTTTAACCATACTACTACTAAAATACCACCTTAAACTTTGAGGCTTCAGCATGATATACCATTTTATGAGAGGGACCATGGCGACCAAGTGTTTCTTTATTTATTTATACAGGTAAATATACCCAGTTACACATTCTATAAGAGTTTAAACTATACTTAAGTAATAATGAATAATTGAAACATAAATAATAATATACATATAACAATAATTAAACATTCACATGGACATTCACAAATAAAATATTGTAAGTATTGTGTCATAATACACATGTATATAAAAATATGAAAGAAGTGAGAAGGAATGATAAAAATTTAATGAAAACAATCGAACTATATAAACAAATCAAATGCAATTGCCATGATCAATATTTTTCAAAAGGGGCGTCGGTGGCCGCAACGGTTTAGGTGTTGACACAACGCTCATCACTGTAAGGTAAAGGTCGAATCCAGTGACCCTGCATTACCTGACGTACTTACAAATGGGCTTTTTTTCAAAAACATTGGCACCCTGGGGGTTGATATGACCTTTGCTGTAGCAAACCCTCGTAAAAAAATGTTTAAATCGACTTAAAGAAAGGTAAAATGTATAATAATGTAATGAAAGTTTTCTTGAATCAAGGAATCGGACTAAACTTTAAATAATTTGTATTATAATTATATTTTGAAAATAATATTTTTTGTATGGTACTACACTATGGAACATGGAAATTTAGCAAATTGATGAATTGTGAACAGTCAATCATATTATTTAAGAATGTGTAAGAAAATATCAGCTCTTTATTTTGTCATCTTTTGTTTGGTGGTTGCAGTTCTGCGGATTTCATAATAAGTTTATATGGTTTATCCAAGTATTTTTCTAGTAATTTTAAACCAGAGAGTGCAAATAAATCATGTGCATTTTCTATTGAATTAATTACTAATTTCTGATGTGGTGACCAAACAACTGAAGTGTATTCTAAAATTGGATGGACCATAGCTTTCAACAGTTGAATCTGGATCCTTGTTCATTGTTTCTGCATCCTTAAAATTTTTTGGGTAGTTTGGGCATCTGATTGTATGCTAGCGATTCTGGGTTTGAATCCCGGGAAAGCTCATGGCTCTTTTTTTTATTGAGAATAGCACAAAAAAAAGTATTGTCAAGTGTTTTCACACCCCATCCACCATACCCAATGGGAAGAATGACGTTAAGCCCTCCTATACGACAGGAATGACATTTGTTTACTTACCACTTTAGGAAGTTCACAATGAATCTATAAAAGTAAATCTTTACAAAGAAAACTCAGCAAAGTGCTAGATTATTAACCCTCAAACAGTACAGTGGTTTGAGACAAAATACAAGGTCGGATCCGACCCTACCTCTTTTTCATGAGGTTTTTGGTAGACAAGTTCACAATAACATTTACTGATATCTTATTTGAATAAAACTTATTTATTCTTTTTAGGCAACATTTTGCTGTCTTCATAGATGAATTCTACAGTTCCATCTAGGGCTGCCAACAAATAGGTAATGAATGGAGAATTTCGTGCTATGATCAGTGGATCTCAACCACAAAAATCTGGTTCAAAAATGAAGAAAGTTCACCGGTTTTGAAAAGACTGCAGTGTCATTACATGCAACTCTCATACAAGATCGCAGCTCGCATCAAAATTGCTTGCAGTCTGCCCATGCACCAAACACTCAGCATAGTGCTAAATTAGCAAGTTTAAATGACTTTATTGTTTAGGTCTGTTCACAAACCAAAACTGAAGATTGTGAAAAATCGAAATGAAGAAGGAAGACCAGAATGATGGGAATCGACCAAATTACAGGTTTATCAACCCTTAGACCTTAAGTAAAGATATCATATACTCTGCCTAAATTTTATTTATGTATGGGGAAATCATTTATTTATTTATTTTATTAATTACAGAAAACTTTAGGATATTTGACTCTTCATTAATGTTAATATTATCATTGTCGAACTCTTATAAGGTTTATTTTGTATTATAAATTATTGTAGACAGTGTTTTTAAAATAAACAAAATTAAAAATTACCTAGAACGAAAAATGTTCACCAGTTTTGAAAAGACTGCAGTATGTCATTACATGCGACTGACATACAAGATCGTCGCTCGAGTCAAAATTGCTTGCAGTCTGCCCAAGCACCAATCACTCAGCAAAGTGCTAAATTAGCAAGTTTAAATGACGATAAAGAAAACGGATAGCATAAGATAACGTGCTACCAGCATGGTAACACACATTGCCTTCTGGAGGTATCACCCCTAAACGTAAAGATGCCTTATCAACTTACCTTATTTGTCAAAATTTACCTTACGGTGAACTGATTACAAACATTTAAAAAAAATTAAACTTTATACATGTTATGATGATGGTTAACGTCATAATACAAGATTTTACATTAGCTTTATACTTATCTAAAACTTTACTTATAATAATAGATTTTTATTGATTCCACATTTTTTTAGAAAACAATTAGCCGAACTCCCTATTTCGAATCTATTTGTCCAATGCTCTCTGAAGATTTTGAACTTAAGATTTTGTTTAATCTTAAAGAGGACAGTGGCTGGTATAGAGGCCTATAATTTTTCTCAAATGCCTGCTGAGAGAGAGGAGTTCCCTTGCCTTCTTTTTTGAGAGATTTATAAATCTCTCAGCTTATCTCATCCCTGGTGCTTTTGTCCAGTGCTTGAGTTTTTCTTTCTCAAACCATTTTTCCAATTCCAACTTAAGCTCACACTCCGGTGCACCTAGTTGTGGTTTTGGCTCCATGGTGAGAGGGCTGCTCTTTTTTTTTTTTTTTTTTTTTTTACTAGTTGGTTACCCTGTTCATTTACTTTTATATCTTCATATCCTGGACCCAGTTTAAAGTAACCATGTTGTTTTCCTAGATGACTAGAATCAATGTGCACCACAACTTTAAATGTTTTAAGAGTGTCTCTTTGTTTATAACAATACATCACCGTAACACATTATACACAACATTTTTATAAGCAAGGTAAAGTTAAAATTCTAAGTTTAATAAAAGCATTTGACAGCATCCTTTGAACCTTATATAACTTTGGACCTTACATTTCCTAGTATCCTAACTGATTTTCATTGTTGTTTAAAAACAAACTGCATGTCTACGTGGATGTCCTTACACCAATAATAAGATTGAAAACAAAAAATAAACATGTACCAATACTTTATAGGAAACATTACATTTCAAACTTCATAACAAATACAAGCATCTACTGAGTATACCATATACCAAGAATCTACAATGTACATCCCAAGAAAGATATGCATTAATATACACCCCTAAGTGCTTTATGAATGTGAATGAATTATGTGAATTCCTTCTCTATTTTTTTTTTTGTTTTTGTTTTAGACGTACTCAGTATCAAAAACTTTGGCTTTTGTTTATTTAATTTAACCACAGACCATTTTCCCAGAACCACTTTTCCAGGTCAGACTTTAATTTATCATTTATCTTAATAAGGTCTGTTTTAGATGCTTCTTTTAATTGAAAAATAGTGTCATGAGCAAACGCAGTAAAATGAACTGCTGGCAAATATTTGAAAAGGTGATTTGTAAAAATTATATACAATAAAGGACCAAGGATAGAACCCAGAGTTTTCCCTGTTGTTACATTGCACACACAATTAGACGAAAATCGATCATTACATTTTACAACCTGGCTTTTATTTTTAAGATAAGACTCAATCAACTTTATTGCACCTTCATAATTGTACACTGATAGTTTTTTGAAGAGAAATTCATGGAAAATGTGATCAAAAGCTTTGCTGATATCTATGAAAGTTTATTCCAAAGGTCTCTATCTATGACCACTTGTTTATATGGTATTATGGTTACACGTTAATGACCAAATTACCGTTTAAACCTGTATACGTATAATAAAATCAAAAAATAAATAAAAATAACCAATGTTTTGCTGTAAAGTGTTGAAAACTTATGAATGTGAAGTTGAGTCATTTCTTCTGTTCTTGATCGACTAACATTTATCACACTAAATCTATTGCGACTATCATTGATAACAATAAATTGATTATAGTTTAATTCAGGCATTACCACACTAATAATTTCTGCCCAAACCTGTCTAACAAAGCAACCCCATCATGGATAGGCAGACCAAAATGATGGGTAATGTCTAAATCACAGATTCATCACCATGTAGGCTAGAAATTTTACAATAATGAATGTGATAATTATTGTGCTCAACTTATTACCAGCCAAAATATTTGCACAATGACAATTTTTCTTAGATGTGGGATTATTCTCAAATTAGATTAATTAAAAAGCTGTTATTCATTGGTCATTATAGATCATTGTGGTCTGTCTTTCCTGGCCAAGTCGATCTGCGAGATGCATTTCGGCATTTTGCCATATCCTGTGTTGAGTCTTGGGTATTCCATGTATATAAATAAGAAAAAAAAATTGTGGAGAAATTATCTTGTATCGATTTCTAAATACCAGCACTTGCGGCTAGCATTGGAAATGTTTGCAAAAGATTTTTGCAATTGCTTAATAATTAATTATAGGAATAAAAAATAAAATAAAAACTCCAATTTGTATAAATTAATTTTTTTACATTATTCACATACATCGTTCAACATATAGGCACATAAACCTTTAAATACAAATTTAAGTGATAAAAACATATTTACATGCCAGTCTTTAAGAAATTAGTTTATATTATAATTCTTCATATTTGTACAATCACTGGTGTAACTTCATGAGTATCACAAGGAACATTTTTCATGACATTTGCACATCAACTGGGATACTTCTTAAAACAATATGTAAAAAAAAAGGACAAGACAATATTAACAAATGTAGTGAATCTTTGAAGAATTTTTCATTGCAACAGAGAACTTTTTTTAATTACTATACTTAAAAGTAGTTACCCTATAATTCATACAATAAAATTCATACTAACAGGAATGCATTTGACAACTTATAAAAAACAGTATTCAATTCAAGGAGTAAATTTCACCAATTGGTCTATGTTTTATGACCCCTTAACATTTAAAATATGTATATACATCCTAAAAACAACTTAACATATATGATACACTTTTCAACATTTCATTATTTAAAGGGAAAAATTATGCTTTATTTCGATTTTATATACGGTTAATTTAATAACTTTTGAAATAATTTTGAAATAATATTTATTAAGCATACTCCTAGTTTTGAAAAAAAAAAACTGTAAAAGACTTACAGGGGAAGAAAGGATTAGAGTAATTGGTTATTTCCTTTGTCTCATACATCTTCAATTAATTATACATTCTCATTTCTCAATTTTCATACAAATGTAAATATCAATTATTACTTAAATCTTCATTCTAGAAAATTATGCCAATATATGCAATATTTATATACCAACTTCACAAAAAAAAATTTTCCCTGTTTGGTAATTTTCTGAACTATATTCAAACATATCCTGTCTTCTAGTCCAAATTCGTGAAACACTCGACTTAATACAATAATAAAATACAAAATTAAACACACAATATATAAAAATAATAAACTTTAAAAAAGACAAACATTGTTCACAGAGGTGATATGTAAACTGAATATGTAATTATCTTATATAATACGATGACTAAAATTATCAAATCAATACAGGTAAATGTAGATAGACGAAATAGGCATTAGTAGGAAAAGCGCTTTTCTTTCTTTCTTTACATTTTTTTTTGTTTTTGAAAAATCAAATATCGTAGGTTGGTTAACATTAAAATATTTCATACTTGAAGTAATCTTAATAAAATATGTACAAATACTGTTCCTTAAACAAAGTTATTATACAATTAATTAAATTTATATCAAGGAAAAAGTAAATGGAAATAAGGTAAGACACTAGAGTCCATTCCATTTAACTATTTCTACTTCAACATAATTATATCATTGTCATATAGTTCTTCATTATCATTATAGGCAAAATTTGTAGAGATATTTGAGTATTGTCAAGTATTTAGGAAGTTATACTAGTGCATTTCCTTTCAATGGTAAAATGCTTAACAATTTAATAAACTGAGATTCTATAATCAGTAAAAATTCTATTAGGTCCTAATAAAAAAATAAATAAAACCAATAATTCTGCAGCACACAGTGCTGAAATACCTTTTTCTGTCAAATTAGAATTTAGCCTGTACTTAATAATTTTAACATGTAACCATTTATGTTACTGTTTAAATGATGCAGTAACAGAATATTTCAAAATCACTTCTTAAAATTAGTATTCAATACAAAATAATAAATACATGTATTAAAATTTAAGCCTAAAAAGTGTTCAAATGTTTAAATTTTGTGTTTTTGTTTTTGTCATATTGAGCAGTTTGATAAAATATTTTGTTATTGTAAAGATACAAACATTTTATCAAAACATTAAAGCGAGCACTCCTTTCTAACTCACTATGTGCCTTTCTTTAATTAGAAACTAAAATATGAAAATATCATACATATTCCAATCGGTCTCACGTTATTGTACTGTCAATGTTCTCTGATGTGTATGTGCGTGTATTATTCCTAACCACATTAGTACCTAACTTACAAATATTTAGAATACATTCTAAATTACATCATAAATAACATATAAATAGTTACATAAATCTTAAAAAGGAATAATATTTGAAAAGTTTACTCAATTAAATATATACTTTTCAATTACAATATTTTTCATTATGTTTACAAAAGCAATGACACCATTTTATGGGCATTTAATCATTTTTGTTTGTAGTTTTCGAAGAAAAAAAATCTACTCACCCTTTTGGTGAAAAAATAATCTCCTTTCACTAAAGCTCAAAATTCATAATTTAGCAATTTAAATTAGCATCCATACAATTTATTGGCACAATGATGTCAAACCGCAAAGTTGGAATCGGAATCGCATAGCACTCGGGACATAATATGTTATATTGTTTAAATAAACACTATGATGTATAAAAACCAGGTATAAATGAACTTAACAAATAATTACATATTTTAAAAAATGTACACATTTAAATTAAATTAATGATACTACATTAAACACAGAAAACCTGCAATATTAAAAAAAGGTAATATTAATTATATTCATAGTGGTGAAGAACATAAACTACAGTTAAATCACATTAGCATTTTATGAAAAGAATGTCTGAAGAAATACTAATATTTCATGTACATTTAAATATATTTTGTTATTTAGATTTAAACGAATCTATTATTTATTTTTGGCAAAGTTAAAATGAGCACTTGCGGTAAGCTTAACAGACTAAATTGCACTTATATAGATATTGGTGTATCCTGATAATGATGATAGTGGTGATGGACATGCTCATGGATGTGACGGTGTTCGAGGTAATCATTCGTTGGACTATATTTATTGTGGTCCTGTTTTGGAGATGAGAATTCTTGTTCTAACCACTTAACTACTTGCGCCATTGCCCTTGCTTGTTCTGCTTCGCGGTGTCGGTGTTTTTGGTGGTGGTGTCTTCCTAACGATTCTTGCCCTCCCCTCCAAGGATGACTTCTTGGGATCTTTTCTTTTTCGTGAGCCCAAAGAGGCGAGGCTCTATTAATTAAATGAAAAACATTAACATACATATATGACATTGAAATTATTCATCAATAATATATTACAAACCTTGATGTCTGAAATGGTAAATTATTTTTTTCCATATTGGCCTGAATGATTTTTAAAAGTTGCTGCCTTTGGAGTGAGCTCGATCTTTTCTTACTTCGACACCCATTACAGTTCATTGTAGGTGTGACATGTGACCTATAGAAGCAAAGATTCAAGATTAATTATAAAGAAAATCAAATGTAGAATACATATAAATGTTAAAATTGATACTTACATCGTATGGTGGGTAATATCAGCATCGCCTACTTTCCCTGTTCTCCTTTCCCTTATCGTTACGTTAAAATCTTTTTTAAATCCTTTCGAATTGTTTATACTATGATTGTGATTGTCATTGTTATTATTATTGTTGTTTATATTATTGAAGTTGTTATTGAAATGGTTATTGTTTATGGTATTATTATTATTGTTGCAGTTGTGCAGAACTGTTTGAGCCTTGTTCTTCTCTGCTATATCTATATTCGGCGTAACAGTGAGTTTCACTTTGATAGTTTTACTTCCATAATGGGGAACTTTCAGAGATGAACCAAGGGTTTCATATATAGTCGTGACAAGTCCGGCAATATCCTGAAACAAAAGATCATTTAGCGATGAAATTAATTACCAATTTAAAATGTTTCCATTGTACATGTTTTATCATAGCCGTATCATTTTCCCAATGTCATTATTGAGACTTAACGATTCAGCTATTGTACTTGCAAAAAAAAAAAAATCATGAAACTTTTTTTTCGTGGGGGAGGGTTGTATGAAAAAAGGGGCCAGGTGCGACGGTGGGAACCCATGACTGCAGGGTCTAGAGACGCGAGAGTCTATCACGCTGACCACTTGGCAAACACGGTCCCCTTGACTTTTGAATACTTAAGTTGGCTGAATATCCAAAATAAGGGGAAAATGTATTACTAAGTGACTTTACAATATACAGGTCTGTGTTATAATACACAATAAAACTAATGTGCGACGTGTAATATAGTGATAATTGGGAAAACATTGAATCACGGGTACCCAACCTAACCCACAACCCTGCCTAACCTCACCACACCTAACCTAATCTAAACCTAAACCCAAACCCAACCCTAAGCCTTATGCTTCTTAGCCCATGCACATTCCACTGAAACGTGAAAATTGTCATTTACATTTTTTGATTCCTGATATCCTGGGTTCAATCGTTCTTTTCCAGGTTATTCCCATATGAAGATTTTTATATTATAATTTTTATTATGTAACGGGATTTTTTAAAGTTGCTTTCTTTTTTATACCTATAATTGCGTTTTTTTTACTTTTACGTGGTTTTTTTTTTTTGTTATAAATTTTTGGTTTTATTTTTATGTTAATTCTTTGGACATTTCAGGAATTTACACCCATCATCAACATCTTATTTTGTTTTTATNTTAAAAAATTATGTAAAAATGAAACAAACAAAAATATTTTAGAAAGATACATGGAAAAGTTAAAAAAAATTTAAAAAAATATATATTTATATCCCGTAACGTAACTGTTGGTGTGATTTTACCACCAAAACATACATTAGACTAATTCTGGAAGTTAAAAGGCGCAAAATCCTTTGATTACTACTTCATTCCATGTCTGGCAACTTAACAATACACGTCTGACAAACCAACATGGTCGATAAGGATCAAATTACAAGTTTATAATTATTGTTGTCATATCAAGAAAAGAAAAAATTATGTAATGACAAACTCGACTTCGCGCTCACATATTTACCCTGCTCCATTGAAAAATATGTATTATTTAACCTAACTTAACTCGTCCACACCCCTACCCCAATCTAAAGAAATCTCCCAATATATTACAAATATAAAGTCTTTTCTAACAAATATACTCGAGGCCGAATCCTAAAGTATTAAATATATTTGCTATTGAATTTTTTCAACAGGTATAAAGTATAAATTATTAAATATGTCAAACGCGTCGGTCATACCTGTTATCATAAAATGAAAAATAGTTTAAATTGTCAATAATTCGAGTCACTGACTGTCCGTGAGTTTTCCCTTGCGCTGGTCCCTTTTGAAGTTCTTGAATGGTCTAATAATCTAATATCAGGGCCTATTATGCAGTAAGTGTCCGCATGTTTTCCCTCGCGCTGGCCGGTTTTGTTAAAATGGCCAGTCCTTTTGATCAAACTGGACAAACCCACGGACGTTATTAATTTCTAGAGGGTATCAACAAAAACAGTTCTTAGATTTTTTGTCTAAACGGTCTTCTTCCGAATTCCTTTTGTTCCAACTTAACAATTTTGATTTGCCGTCTGCGTTTCGCCATTGGAATTTGGACAGTCCGTAATCACTCTGTTCAACGTGACCCGTCATGAAGTCGAATGAAGACCCGGGTCATTTCGTCCCTCTCGTCTGCCGATCATTGTACCAAGAAACCATTAATAACCGTCCACGTCTTCGATAACTTATTGGAAATAATTGTTTTTAGCGAATTATTTCCTACTGCAACAATCTCAACCAATAGATGGCAAATGACATAGTCAGCCAGATGAGGCACATTCTTCATTTCAATTGGTATCGAGATATCGGGCTCCTTTTAGTAGGGACAAAACCAATATAATTATATAACGTAGTGCAATAATAAGTAAGAAAACGGGTTTTCGATCCGTTTTTACATGGTTTTTTTTTTCTTTGTATTTTGAAATAATTTCAATTGATAAGTATAAAAAATTGTTATTCCAGGATTTAGGAACTAAACTTTCCCTGTGGGTACCGATCATCCTCACGGTTCTGTTCATGTATGCAATGTTTGTGCGACAAAACGAACAGCTTGTGGCATTTTCCCAGCTTAAGCAGTGCAACTTAAGTTTGAAAAAATGTTGCCCACTATTTCAAAACAATGTTGGATACGTCCACAAACGCCTGTCTGACACGCAATAAAGGGAACAAAAGAAAAGTGAGTACTGCTTCAATCCAGACCTGTCAGGCCAAAATAAAAGCAAGTACTGCTTGAATTCAGTCCCATAAGGCCAGAATAAAAACAAATAATTCTTGAATTTAGTCCTGTCTGGCTAAATATAAGCAAATACTGCTTGAATTCAATCCTACCAGACCAAGATAGCAGGTACTGCATAAAAAATTATCATATTCTCACAAGGTACAAACGAAAATAGTAATATCATCAAGAAGTTTTCTAACAAATTTTGAGGCCTTTTAGAAATATTTGAATCAAAAACCCATTCCTGTCATGATTAGATAATTTTCCTTTTATTTTGACAAAACTAAGCATTACAAGATTCTTTTATTTATTATTATTTGTAATCACATGATCAAATCGAGCTTCATAAGTGGTCGAAGGCTCATAAATGCTATAAAATTGCTCGAAAGAAAAAACAATAGTTCACTTGATATTAAAAACAACCAACGTAATTTTTATTGTACCATAAAATCATTATTGAATTAGGGCCTGTATCTTTTTAAAACTGCCAATGAGTATTTGTCAGTAAGGCCGTTCTGAAAGCTTTTACACCCCATAAAACCAAACGAGATTGTTTGAAAAAATGTTCTTCTGGGCAGCTTTACCCTGTAATAAACTCATACGGTTTTTTGTTCTTTTTTGGTTACTCTGGCACGAGATACTTACATCTTTGGTTACTTTGCCGTGGCCGTCAAAGTCGTACAACGTAAATGAGAACTCTTGCAGCCTATCCTTTCCAACCGGGGTCGTACCCTCCTTCAGAGGCATATCACAGGACAGTTCCTAAAACAAATAGAATTCCTGAACCGACTCGCAAAATGTTGGTGTAAAGAGAGAAAGAAAGTGTGAAGAAAAAAATCTCAATTTTTGCTGAATATGTGGTGTCGTTACACAAAACAATATCTTAATTAATTTAGGTTTTAGTTGAGATAAAAAAGTCAGTGTCACGAGCGGGATTCGAACCCACGACCTTCGGCTAAACTAAAAACCTTAATTAATTGGTCAAGTGGACCACGAAAACTAGTGAATCTGATAGTTTACTTTTCAAATCAAGTAATTCCTTTCATACAGGGACTTGTCAAGTCCAATGACAGAATCCCTTGGGGTATCAAGAATTATTTGATTATGCATTTAAATTCTTACAGTTCTTAGACACAGTACATAATAATTAAAACTTAAATTGAATATAGATTATGTTAAATCAGGTTCCTTACTTCAAAGAATAATATAAATTTCAACTGTTTTCGTGATTTTTGGTGAGAACGATTTTTTCTAAATTTCAACTTATCAAACTGCTCCTCCTATTCTTGTTCTGTTTCAAATTTCAAAAAGGACCACCAAGAGAGTCAAACAGGCGAAATACGAATCATGCAAGACGTCCATCACCCCTGCAGATCTTAACAAGAACACGTGGTCAAACTGGAAGGTGTTCACTTCATTAAAACATCGGTTTGACCCAACTTGGTGTTTTTCTCGGCCAACCTTCGATTATGCCTTCTCGGTGGGTGGTTATGGAATCGGCAGCTGTGGACTTCACTTTTGAGTTTCAGCCGACCGAATAAGTTGAGAAGCCTCCCTTTGGCAAAAAAAAGAACTCGAACAACCAGCCCCTAGCCCCGGGCCACCCTTGTTAAGTAAACCTTGAGGACAAAGGAAAGAGAAGGGACGAGCAAAAAGGAAAGCAGTAGGAACGGTAAGCAGGGGAAGAGCAAAGCACGAGGGTAGTTGAACATGATGTTCCAAGAAATCCTTAATGTAAGTTGGTAACGTTGCTACCACGTCAAGTTGGCATGCTTGTTACAATAACACGTCTTACATTTTAAGGCTGCACAGTTGAAAGCTTGATAATTTAATTTCTAAGATAATTTAAAATGATTTTATTCTTTAATAATAATCACTGTAAACAATAACAATCAACTATGTGGGCTACATTAAACCTATGTCGTTTTATAGATATTGTAGTAACCTGCCTCAAAACATTGTAAAGAAAATCAAACACTCAACTTAAACACTTCCATAAATTTTATTATATTTTAATGTTAGATGAAACGTAATTGAACGATCAACTAGATGAGCTAGTGATTTTCGTACATATGTCGGCTGAAGAATAATTTCTGGCAAACGTAAAGTCACTAGAAGTAGAGCTTGACAGGCGGTTTAAAGTTATCGGTATTGTATGGTATGCAGCCACAAAAACATGATATCCGGGAGAGGGTTGAACGAGATTTTTAACCAATGACTAGGATAGGCATATAAAAAACAACTGTTTTGATTTATGCAAAGAGGAACGATTTGGAAGGCACGGTATAAGTTCCCTCATGTTGGAGCTTGGGCATACGAAGTTACCAACAAGGATATAATTGTACACTGAATGACTGAATGCTGTCGTACCGGGTGATGAGTTTTGAGAAACTATGCACCTCCCGGCTGCTCCCACTTGAGTGGCTTTTCACTATTTTATTCGTCCCTGGACCGAACGCCGACAAAAGTAGTTCGCTGGGGGTAACGTACGTAGTCTGTTGGACATGGGTAAACCGTGATGTACAATAACGCGAGAATGTTTCGGTTTTGCCATGCTCCTTTGTCCCTTTGAAATTGGCGAGATTTCAGAACGTGAAAAGGCCCCCCAGTAGCAGCAGAAGGGGAGGAACGACATAACAAAAAAGTTCCACCTTTTTCCTCTTCCTGTTTTTATTTTTATTCTTCTATCCAGGGTTGTTGGGTTTAAACGTGTTGAACTCATAAAACCATAAAATCGCCCAAATCAGACTTGAGATTTATTTATTGTTTAATGTTTATGTATTTCGTTTTGTTTGAAATATTCATTCTTTATCAAACTGCATCAATTTTACCAAGTTTCACTTAAGGATTTGCAAATAACATCTTTCAATTAATTTTATCTGAACCAATACCTTAAATAAAGACTAATTAATTGAAAGATGTTATTAGGTCAAGCGGACCACGAAAACCAGTGAATTTAATAAGTTAAATGAAGTATATTTTCACTAAAGCTCTCGCCGAGAATCAAATAGATTACACGACATTTGAAAAATGGCAAAAAGGAGGGAAAATTTAAAAGGTAAGGTTGAGATGGGACGTTGGTGTACGAGTGGTCTAAGTCACGATAGCTCAAGTGGTTAGAGCAGCGGCGCATTTAGCCGAAGGTCATGGGTTCGAATCCCACTTGTGACACTGACTTTTTTATCTCACCCAATACCTTAAATACAGATTAATTAATTGAAAGATTGAAACGTTGGCACGATAAAGAAAATGTTTTTCTAAAAATGTGTATAGATTAGTGACCGTTAATCGATAGTTATTCAGATATCGTGAGATGCGGTCGGGTTTTTCTAAAACCTACGTCACACCAGACCGCATCTCACGATCTCCAAATAATCATTAACTAACGGTCACTAAACACCACACACACACGCGCACACACACACACACACACACAAAAATAAACTCCCTCATGTCAGGGGGAAAGTCACCTGCCTAACCTAACCAAACCTGTCCCTAAACCTAACCTAACGTAATGCAAAAAAGACTACATTTGGCAAACATAAAATAATAAGATACAGATTTTTTTGGTTAATAAAATCAAACCGAAACGCATACCTTCAAATTAGTGCTTGCTGGATTTTCACTTCTTGCATCCTCCACATCGTCATCCGCTCCTGGACAAACAAAATCAAAAGTTAGAATAATCAAATTTATCATAAAAATATTATTTTCCCAGGCTAACATTTACAGAAAAACATGACAAAAATGTTTATTTAAAAAAAATCTCGTGTGGCAGAAAAGTAATTATTAGCAAGGAGAAAATTGTTAGACTTCTTACGCGAACAAAAGGAATTTTCCATCCCCGTAGTCTTTACTGGTGGTGACGCAACTCATTTCATTAAGAAAAACAGAAAATCTGGGAAATTTATTTTCCAAATAAATAAGGAAGGTTGCGAATGTTCTCTGGGTGGAAATGAATTCTTTTGACACGGAAATCGGCAAATCCTGGCCCAATAAAACGTCAATATTTAACCAGTGGAAGTGAAACGAAATCCGTTCAGGTAGTCGGCGTCGGCATCTTTGACGAGTGTCTTTTGTGGTATTAAAACCAGGATTCGCCGCTTTTTGCCGCTTTCCTTATTAAAATCGTCGGCTCCTTTGCCCTTTTGTCAAATGTTTAGAATGGGGTGAAAGTTGCGGTCACTGTCGTTTCATCCGTTTCAATTTCCACCGGCGGTTCTACAATAAAAACTTGCAATTGTGTACGCTTGGAAAACCCTTTTATCTCGAGCCGCTTTGGGCCTTTTTTCTTTTTTCGGCCTCTTTCATTTTTGGAGAAATTGCTATCTTAAATGTCCTTGTCTAATGGGCGTACTCCGACCAAGTGAAAGGATTTAAACAATAATATATTGAGGATTAGAGAAAGATATTTCTTTTGGAAGATTTCTAGTTGAGGTGTGCGTCAAACAAACTCGTAGTTTGTTTTAAGATCAAACTGGTCCGTCAGCTTCAGTGGAGTGAACTACCATCTTTATTAGACCCGAGATTAACCAAATTTGAACCTTGTGAGACCTACTCTTGGTATCTACTAGGCAATGAACCCGCAGTGTGGTCGATTCGACAAAATAAACATCTTTACAAAACCAAACACGTCTTTTTATCTTTTACGAGGTCACATGAACCCCTGGGGTGCCGGTGTTTTTGGAAAAAGCACAGCCAGTATGTCGAATTTGAATGCAGGGCCACTGGATTCGAACCCGGGACTTTTACTTTACAGTAATGAGCGCCACGCCAACGCCCAAACCGTCTGAAAGAACAAAACAGCGATCATAAATGTCCTTTGTGTGTTTCGAAGTAACGAACTAACGGAACTAAAAACACTCACAGTGTTTGTTTTCTGTGTAATTGTGTCATTCTTGTGTGTCGTGTTGAGAGTGAACTTAGAGCCTGAAGATGATCTCAATAAAGATCGAAACGTTGGCACGATAAAGAAAATGTTTTTCTAAAACCTACATCACACCAGACCGCATCTCACGATGTCCGAATAATCATTGAGAAGAACGAGACTTAGCTATTGAAAATTAAGCTATTTCCTGTCGAAGCCTGGGTGTTTTCCAACCAGATAAAATATTAATTGATCTTGCCCGTTGAAATCAACGATACATTAATAAATAATTATGTAATGGAAATCTTCATCCTTGTGTATCGTGGCATATCGAAAGTAACCTTTGACATATTTATATATCTCACGATTTCTGACTAATAATCTTTGACATATTGTTTGTCTCTATCATTCCTTTAGAAAATTCACTTTGGGTTTAAAAAAGTGAATCGATTAAGAATTAATAACGGACAATCAACGTGACTCCCATCATAGTGATATTTTAATAAAAGTGAAGACTCAATTTCTTTTATACTGAACTAAATCCCTCGTACGGTGTAAGAAAAACGCGTTTGATGTGACATCCGGCAGGTATGAGTTATTCCATTATAATTATAATTGGAGGTATGGGCCTGGCCGGGCTCACAAGGGATCGTAAATAAAAAGAAAGAGCGCAAGAGAGGGACGGAACGTGAGGACGGCGGCGAGGGTAGAACAGAGGACGAGAGAGAGAAAGAGTGAGAAAGAGAGTGAGAGGAGGAGAGAGAAGGAAGAAGTAGTTTGATGATGCCGCTGTTCTAGGAAGTGCGGGCTACAGGTAAACCGACGGGGCCCCTAACTAGAAATCCGGTCTGTTAATCACATCAAAAAAACATTCAAAGGAACACCACTTTTTTTCCACACGCCAACTCTACCGGTTTCTCTACCCTAATCTTATACTGCTCACATAATCTTTTCCCTCGGTTTGGGACACTGTAAACAGACGACTGACGTCCTACGACATTACTGGCTAATTTCCCTTTTCACCCACTGATGTCCATTATTACTCACTCGACCAAAGCCAAGAATACGAAGGATGCAGGATTGACAGTCCGAGTGTAAATGGGTAGGCGACTAAATGACCCGGGCAACTCCCATATCTAAAGCTTAATGAATATTATTTCCTAGAACAGCGGAATAGTTGAGACGAGTTAAAAGGTTTCAAGCTCTGTTTACAAACGTTTCGAAAATTCTACGAAAGCCAAGAAAATAATAGAGAGCAAAAGATGGTGAGATAGATTGAGATAATGTAAAAAAAAAGAAAGAAGAAGAACGTCAGAGAGAGAGAAAGAGAGAGGTGAAAATATTAGAAAGAGATAAAGAGAATAGAAAAAGAAGGTATCAGGAAAAGAGAACGTTAGAAAAAAAAAGAGAGATAGACTTCCACAAAAATATTAGAAAGCAGAAAAAAAATAGAGATAGAGAGGATGTGGAAAACAGAAAAGTGTCAGAAAAAGAGAAAGTAAGAGAATGTTGTAAGAGAGAGAGAGTGATGGAGGGAGGGGTGGGTGGTGTGTGTGAGAGAGAGAGAGAGAGAGAGAGAGAGAGCGATGGAGGGAGGGGTGGGTGTGTGTGTGAGAGAGAGAGAGTGAGAAAGAGAGAAGGGATACTACAGTATAGTGCTATTAAACATATTTAATAAGTCCACATTAAATTTATAAGTATATTGATAGAATTTACGCGCTTTCGCGACAATGTATGAAAGCATGTGCTCCTTCGGCAGATATTCTTAACGTGACGGTATAGAGAGAAAGAAAGAAAGAAAGAAAAGAAGAAAGAAAGGAAGAAAGAAAGGAAGGAAGAAAGAAAGAAAGAAAGAAAGAAAGAAAAGAAAGAAAGGAAGGAAGGAAGGAAGAAAGAAAGAAAAGAAAGAAAGGAAGGAAGAAAGAAAGAAAAGAAGAAAGAAAGGAAGGAAGAAAGAAAGAAAAGAAGAAAGAAAGGAAGGAAGAAAGAAAGAAAAGAAAGAAAGAAAGAAAGAAAAGAAAGAAAGAAAGAAAGAAAGAAAGAAAGAAAGAAAGAAAGAGAGAGATAGAAAGTGTGTGTGTGTGTGTGTGTGTGTGTGTGTGTGTGTGTGTGTGTGTTTGTGGGAGAGAGAGAGAGAGAGAGAGAGAGAGAGAGAGAGAGAGAGATAAAATTATTATAAATCCTAAAGGAGTATGAAAAATAATGATCTCAAAAACGCAAATCTTTAAGATGGTTTGGTTTTTAGTGAATAATATGTACAACTTTTTTAAGTAATAGAAGAAAGTATATATCCATTGTCTGTTACACATGATTTATGTATTTCTTCCAGTGAGGAGCAGAGAATGCCTGGTTTTTTTTTCGATGCCATCCCATAATAGTCTTTGATTACTGGTAGTCGTCTGAACATGGGAAAGTATGTCAAATTAACTTTTCTCCACTAGAGTTGGATGACGGCGTTTCTTGTGAATCCCTTTGATTGCCAGTTTCTGCGGGTTAACTTTTTCGAACGCAAATCGTGACACGGGCTAAGTTCAGGGGTATAACGATTAATTAGAGATCGGTCTCTTTTGAGCCGGCCGAGAAGATGAGCCCGATCCCTCTCGTGGAAAATAAATGGGGTTGCAAAGCGGGTAAAAATTCCGACCGGCTGATTACAGGTCGGGACCGAAATCACCGTAAAAAGTTAAGAATGGGTCGACAGGTGACGTCAACTATCCCTGGTTTCTATCCTCCGGCAAAGCGAATAATTTCCAAGGTGGAAGATAAATAATCTTCAGGTGTTCTTCTGTGGAAAAATACGCGTTAAAAAAACAACATTTGAGCAGCTACTGTTTCTTTTCTGTTGTTGTTTACTCACTTCCCAACCGGTTAAAACCCGAGAAACGACTGTGACATTCATTCATTTATATTATAATGCAAGCCATCAATTTCATTTTTTCCCTACTTTTCAGAATATATTGGACGAAAAGACATTTACGGACAGGTGATTTTCATTCTTTCACTTCTCTGTACAAAATGGAGTCACGTCCTGAAAGAGAACTATACATACATACATTTCCAATACTTCGTTTAATGATTAAATAAACAGAAAAAAATTGTTTTTGCACAACAATATCAAAATAAGAATATTTAATGGTTGCAAAAAACCATCTGAAACGCTAAGCAACAGGTTTATCACATAAATACAAAATGATCGGAAACTATCAGGATATAGGTTTCTCAATCGTCGATCATAATGAACGGAAAGATCAGGCTAGTTTTCTCAATCGTCGACCATAATGATCGGAAACGATCAAGCTATAGGTTTCTCAATCGTCGATCATAATGATCGGAAACGATCATGCTATAGGTTTCTCAATCGTCGATCATAATGATCGGAAACTCATGCTATAGGTTTCTCAATCGTCGATCATAATGATCGGAAACTATCAAGCTATAGGTTTCTCAATCGTCGATCATAATGATCGGAAACGATCATGCTATAGGTTTCTCAATCGTCGATCATAATGATCGGAAACTATCAAGCTATAGGTTTCTCAATTGTCGATGATAATGATCGGAAACGATCAGGCTATAGGTTTCTCAATCGTCGATCATAATGACCGGAAACGACCATGTTACCAATCCATCACACATAGCTCAAAATAATCGGGAATGGTCATGGTACAGGTTTATCACACACACATCCAATTCATAGGCTTATACGATTGTTACACTTACTTCAAAACGATCGAATACGACAGGCAACAAGTTTGCCACTCCGCAGACCAAATTGATCAAGTTACAAAT